CTACCCAGGCATGGAACTGGGGGTGGCAGCTGGGCCAAGGAGCAGAGTGCTGGGTGGCTGTCCTGCTACTGCTGTGTGAGCAGGGAGCAGCACCCAGCTGCACGCCAGGCAGGTGGGGTACTGAGTGCCACCGCCCCCCTCGTTGGGCACCGCAGAGAGAAGGGCCCCCACCCGGGATGCCATGAGGGTAATACGGAGATGTCCCCAGCTCCACCAGAAACCAGGGGAGAGAGACCCTCTGACAAGGATGGGTGAAGGGCCTTTCCTTTTGCAAGGACAGTCACGTTCCAGGGGTGTGGAGCCCAGGACAGCCCACAGTTTCCTTTTGCAAGGACAGTCACGGTCCAGGGATGGTGGCTGCTTTCCAGAACTCCGGCTACTGGGGTACGGGCCGTGTGGCCCAAAGAACAACAGATACACACACGCCTCCCAAAGGAACAGATGCACAGACTTTGCAGGACTTCTCACCCCTGTGGGACTAACACAAAAATAAAGCCTCACCCCCACCCCAACTCGGCCAGAGAAACAAACACACAGACCTTCCCAGCAAAGAGAGGCCCCTCCCGTCCCCGTGGAAGGACAGACCCCACTCCCCCAGGAGAGCTGGCAGCGGACACGCCACCTCCCAGCCCAGTCCAGGTCCGGAGGCTGCCCGATGATGCCGGGGCTGGGAGGTGCCTCTTTCTCACGCTCTCTGTCACTCTCTCCTCCGCCCAGCCATTTCCGCTGCCTTGGAGGAGGCGTGGGCTGGGAGTGACAGCCCAGAAAGGGTGGGAGGTAGAGGAGCCCCTGCCCAGGATCCCGGGGGGCAGATGTCAGAAGGGGACAGCTGGTCCTCTTCACCCTTGAGGCCCGGCCCGACTAGAGGGGCAGCAGGCAGGGTGCTGGCTACCCAGCCAGGCTGGTCACCGTCAGGAGCCCCCGGCCTGACGTCAGTCCCACTGATTGTTGTTGCTGAGGCTTGAGTCGTTCCTGTGACGCCACAGGGGTCAGCTCTGGAATGGCTGGGGGTGGCCTGCTGGACCAGCGTCAGGGATCAGCTCTCCCCTGGGACCTGCACTAGGATGGGTGGGGCCAGCCGAGGCCACACGCTCCAAGCGAAGCCAGCTGCCTACTCCCAAGGTCTCACGCTGGCCTTTACGTTCCCTCCACAGACCTTTGCTGCAGGCCTGGCTCACAGGGCCTCAGCACTTGCCCCTCCGCCTGCCTGGCCGTGGTTCTGGGCCGTGGCTGAGAAGTCCTGGCCTCTCCTGCCTCAGAACCCTCAGTTTCCATGCTCAGTCCTCAGTGAGGCCTCTCCCTCCAACTCTTTTCTTTCCTCTTTCCCAGGAAGCTTCCCCAGAATAATTCCCTGTAGCCCCGCTTCTTTCTGGAATCAACTTCCAGGATGCCCTTCCCGCCGTCGCCGTGGCCACAGGCTGCTCTCCTGTGTTCTCTGCAGCTGTGCCGGCTTCTTCTGGTGCCCAGTCACCTCCCAACTTGCTGAGACCATGGCTTGGGACTCGTCTGCACTCTGAATGGGTCCCTGTCTATCCAGGCCACAGGCATCTCTGGAATGCCAGCAGTAGCCTTCATGCTGGCCCCAGCTAGCCCTGCAAAACCTGCTGCCATTCTTTCATACCACTGTGCTCTCTTGCCCAGGTGGACCTCCTGGTCCTTCTCCTCTGCCAGGCTCTGAGCTCCCAGAGGGCCAGGGTTGTGACTTGTCCATGTTGGTATGACATGGGTCTAGCATATGGACAAGTTATGTATGTGTTGCATGAATGAATGAATGAATGGTTGCATCTTGATCATCAGGGTAGTGGCATAAGATGGGAGAATTCATTCCATGTTGTCTATTTTGACCAAGACCTTCCTTGCCTGTCAGGACCACCCTTGTGGGTGTAGGAACCAGGAACTGAGGTGCAATGAGAACCATCCAATAAGGATTCAGGGAGGGAAGAGGAGGCAAGTCTTGGCTAGCACCTGGGCCTGAGATAAGAGAGATGAGAGGGTTCGGCTTCACCCTCAGGCAAGGAAGGCTCCATGGAAGGGTGAGTTTCGGAGTAGGGACAAGAATGGGTCAAACTGGAGGAATGAGGAAAGAGTAGCTGTGTGGCCTTAGCAAATGTTTCTCAGGGTTCTCCAGAGAAACAGAACCAAATAGGATCTATACATTTATTAGGAGGAATTGGCTCATGTGAGCATGGAGGCTGACAAGTCCTGCGATCTGCAGTCAGCCAGCGGGAGACCCAGGAGAGCTGATGGTGTGGTTCCAGATGCTGGAGCCTCAAGGTCAGGAAGAGCAGATATTTCAGTTCAAGTCTGAAGCAGGAAAAATCCAACGGCCCAGCTTGGAAAGCTGTTAGGCAGGAGGAGTTCCCCTCACGTGTGTGAGGGTCAGGCCTTTTCTTCTATTCAGGATGGCTGCCTGAGGCCCACCCTCCTTAGGGAAGGCGGGCTGCCTTCCTCAGCCTCGGGTTCAAATGTGAATTTCACCCAGAAACACCCTTACACACACCCAGAGTAAAGTGTGACCAAGTATCTGGGCATCCTGTGGCACAGTCAAGTTGACACATAAAATTAGCCATTGAAGCAAGTCACTACGCATCCCTAAGCCCCAGCTCATTCTGTGTAAATTGGGGGGAAATGATATTTCCCTTCCAAAGTGGTTGGAGAAATCCACACATAGTGCATGTGAAGGGCTGCTGTGGTGCCCAGTGAGGCTCCATGGCTGGTAGTAGGGTGATGATGATGTTGGGTCGTGGCCGCACAGAGCCGGAGGCAGACGGACTGGGTCAGAGGTAGAGAGAGGTCAGTCTCCCCCTCACTCACTGCTGTATCTGGGAGTTAGACCCTGGTTCCTCCCCTGGGTTCTCACCGGCCTTTGGCTCCTCACAGACACCCCCTCCTAGGTTAAGTCCAGGCTCCAGGAAAGGCTGCTGGTCTGTAAGGCAGGCAGCTTTCTCCTTCCCGGGCTTTGGGGGTATTCCGAGGCTGCCTGGAGGAGGTGTCTGCAACTGGGACAGAGACAACCAGAGACCAAGGCTGCACAGGGCAGAACTATGGGGAGGCAGGAAGGGGATGGGGAATAGATGGGTGGGGAGGTCAGCCAGAAAGGGGATTGAGTAGGGGGGTTGGAAGGACGGGTGGGAGAGGGGAAGCCTGAGGGCAGGCAGGTGGCAGTGGAATGCTGGAGCTGGCAGGTACTGGTCCTCAGAGCCGATTGTAACTCTGATGATCAAACTGTAATCCTTTCCTTCAGAACTCCACATTCAGTGATGGCCTAGGTCAGCGGTTCTCAACCTGTGGGTCGCAACCCCTTTGGGGGTCGAACGACCCTTTCACAGGGGTCTCCTAAATACATCCTGCATATCAGATATTTACATTATGATTCATAACAGTAGCAAAATTACAAAACTTCAAAAAGTTATGAAGTAGCAACGAAAATAAGTTTATGGTTGGGCGTCACCACAACATGAGGAACTGTATTAAAGGGTCGCGGCATTAGGAAGGTTGAGAACCACTGGCCTAGAGCTTAAAATTGGCCATAGTAGAGAATTGGCAAATGCTACTAATCAAGGCATTTCTCCATCGAAGAGCAGGTGTTGGGGGTGGCATGTTGGAGTGTGATAGTGCATGGGAGAAACCAGAGATAGAACTTCTGTGGTGGTAAGAAGTCCTGCATGTGAACCCCAGGCCCTGCCATTTACCCAGTGACCTCGGCAAGTTACTTGACCTCTCCCAGCGTCAATTTGTCTCGTACGATTACATTAACATATATAAAACACTTAGAATCACGCCCTTTCCATTCCATTCCATACATGTTATGTATTATTATTTTTGAGGAGAAAGTGCGTGTTAGGAAAATGAGCATCTTAATCCCCAGGTTCTGTGGGCATTCCCAGAGCTGCGGAGAAACCCCTGTCTGCCCTGGACGGACCATCTACTTGGAGGACCAATGCTCCCAGGAAGTTACACAGCACTGAACATGCACTCATGTTCACATAACACTTCACAGCGCACAAAGGCTTTTCATATGAATTATCTCTTGTAAGCCGCACAACAGCTAGCTCCCTGTTTAAAGGAGCAAATCAGAAAGGATGAGTGACGTCAAGAGGCACACACAGAGGCAGTGGCAGAATTACCAGCCTTACAAGGACTGCCACCAGACTGGTTAAGTAGAGCACCAAGCAGCCCTTCTGTATGGTGATAACGCAGAGCAAGGTGAAGTCCCTTTCTCCAGTCTCTGTGGGGCCAGGGATCCTGGCTACTATGCACTGGAAACGCTAACGCTTTGCGATCCACTCGGCGTCATGCAGCACACTGGCCGGGGCTCATCTCCAGGGCACCTCTCCACTTAGCATGGCCCTCATCTCGGGGCGTCGGTGCCCCTTCCTGGCCTCTGAGGCCGAGTAAGGGACCTTGCCTCCACCCGAGGGGCTGGCTCGCCGCGATGACTCCGCTCCGCCTAGGGAGGCAGCACAGAGCTCGCCGGCCTCTCCTTCCCTCCCGTCTCTATGGCGGAAGTGAGTCGTTCCAGCCGAAACACAACAACATTCTCGGTGGTGGGAGTGAATGGAGTCGTCCAAATGAAGGGGATACTTCTCACCATCAAATCTTAAAATCCGAAAGATAATCAAGAACAAGGAAACATGCACATTAAATAGCAGGACTTGGGTGTAGGTATTTTCTCGTGTGGGTGTAAAAACGGCCTGGGCAGCTGCACCTGTG